CCCCAAAACCCCAAAACCCCGGAATCTTTATAAGAATGAAAATAAGATAAAGATATAATTAATAATTATAAAAGTAATCGAAAGAAATAAATCTAGGATAATGCAAAATATAAGTGAGTTTGAATTCCCACCTCATTTGAATTCTAATCAAATTAATGCTGTGAAACTAGTTGACTAGTCACTACTTATCCTTGCTGGAGTAGGTACAGGAAAGACAGAAACTCTCATGACGAAATTCGCATATCTAGCTTAAAAATGTGGAGATTACTCAAAAATTCTAGCAGTGACTTTTACTAACAAGGCTGCAAATGAAATGAAAGATAGAGTATAAAAGATACTTGGGAAAAATTTTCCATCCTAGCCTTGGATTGGGACATTTCACAGCCTTAGCTTAAGATTCCTCAAGTTAAATTGCAATTTTAAGGTAATGGGATTAAAAAAGGACTTTAGAATCGCTGACGAAAAGGAAGCGAGGAAATATGTTGGGAAAACTCTGAAGAAACTTAAAGAATCAGATGATCAGTCTATTTTATACAGACTTTAAAATGTGATTAATATTGGATATTGCAAAGGAGGATTAAAAGAAGCACTTTAGATATTAATTGAAAGAGTGCAATTGTTTGGCTTCATAGATGGAGTTATACTTGATTCCCAGTGCTAAATGGTACTATTAAAGATTTATCCAATATACCAACAGCTCATGAGGGCAGATAATTTAATTGATTACGGTGATCTATTACTAAGTGTGAGATAATTAAGCCTAATAAAAAGTAAGATTGAAATCTTAAGAAATCTATTTGATTATGTCCTTGTTGATGAGGCTTAAGATCTAAATTAGATTCAGTATTTGTGGATTTAAAAGCTATTGCAAGATAATAAGAATGTGACGTATGTCGGAGATGATGATCAAATTATTTATGGATTTAATGGATCAGATGGAAAATTGGTCAGATAATTTCATAATTATTACCCGAATGGAACTATAATTAAACTTGAGTAGAATTATAGATCAACCAAGACTATAATTAATCTTGCAAATAATCTAATTTCTCATAATAAGAATAGACACCAAAAGAACTTATGGACTGATAATTAAGTAGGAGATAACTACACAATATAAAGATATAAAAATGAAGATGGCTAAGCTTCAGATATTTGCAGATAAATAAAGAAATTGATTGACTAGAAAGCAGTTTAAGGAAGTTAAATAGCTATTTTAACAAGAACTAACATTCATGGTGATATATTTGAAAAGGAGTTAACTAAGCATAAAATTCCATTTGTCTTTCCTAAAAAAACTTAAGAGATGTTAAAGCTCAATGAGATCAAATTAGCATACAACTTCCTATCAGTATTATTTGATCCAGAAGATTCTTATTCATTCGAGCAGGTGTTGCTATGTTTACCAGGAATGGGCCCAGCAACCTGCCTTAAACTAGCAACTGAGGCTGAGGAGTTAGATATTTCTGTAAAAGAACTTATCAAGATTATTTTGAAATAGCGCGAAACTAAGATATTCGGTAGTATGGATCTTGAAGAAGAAGAATACAGAAGTCTTTTAAGGAGTATGCAAATACTAGATTTAAATGGCTAAAATGATAGCTCGTCTATAATGTAATCTACAATTATGAGAAGAGTACCATCCTAATAATCTATAATACCAGAAAGTGACCAACTCCAATAAATGGTGGCTAATACTGTTCTTAATAGAAAATAAATTGCATCAGTATAACTCTTGCTAGAAGCGCTTTAGATGTCAGAGGGAATAGCAGTATAATAAGTACATTTTCTTACACAATACCTAAATAAGCTGAACTTTTTAAAAATCTGCTGGAAAAAAGCTAAATTCCCCAAAGATGAAAAGGTAATAAAATCAAATGTAATGTGCTTGATTGATAAAATGAGCTAGTTTGACTCTTTCAAAGAATTCTCTGAATTGTATTAAATCCAAGATGAAAGTATCTCGGACTATGATCAGCTGAAAATTGATGATAGAAATCGTGTGAGACTTATTACAATACATAAATCTAAGGGTTTGGAGTTTGAGCATGTAAGTATAAAATAATCAAATTATAATAAGTATAGGTTTTCTTACCTTATTGGTCTCAAGGGAATATTCCTTTTAATATTAGGAAAAATGAGGATCCATAGGAATTTATTGAAGAAGAGAGGAGAATTGCATTTGTTGGATTGACTAGAGCTAAATTTTAGGTTCATTTCAGCTATTGTTGCTATGAATATAATGCAAGATACAATAAGTCATATCAAAAGTAGCCATCCTAGTTTCTTGAAGAAATGCAAGATATTGCATAAAATTAATTACTTGGGAGAGACCTTGCTATTAATAATAGAAGAATTTGAATTGGAATAACTCATATGTAGAGTACTATTCAAGTTAAGTAAGTTTATAATCAGTCTATAATATTTCAACAAGAATGAATAGTTTATATAATTATTAATCCTAATCATAATTTTGCAAATCATTTCTTTGGGGTTTTGGGGTTTTGGGGTTTTGGGG